TTTAAAAAAAAAAAAAAAGAAAAAGGAAAAACAAAATCAAAAAAGATAAAACTTTTCGACTTTAAAAGGCACAAATATTTGTGATTCGAATACTTTGACCAGTTGTAATTTATACTTAGTTTCACAAATTCAGTCCATCGTTTTCAAACAATGCCGCATCTCACCTGATGGTCAATCTGCTGATGGCTACTATAACCTCAAAGGTTCATCCGATAAAACACAGCCAGATGATCTTGCTTTGTTCTCAGCGTTATCAACGCATCTCGAAAAACTGCCATTCCCATCATAGGCGGATCCAAGGAAGGCAGGTTCCTGAGAGAGATGATCCTCCCTTTTTGACTATCTTAAGAAAATATGTTTTTTTTAAAGCGAAAAGTGCAAAATTCTTGAAAATTTGCACCTAATAAAACATATACAAAACGATACCGACCGGCGTTTCGCATCAGTTTCCCAGTCGGTATCAATCTATTCATGGAAATCTCTCAATAATGCATCGAACAAAAACATCCAACTTGCAAACTTACTTTTCAGGCATAATGAAACTGAGCAAAGCCCACAGTTCTTTCAGTGAATTCTGCAGTGGTGTCCCCGTTATGAGCAATCGATGACTGGTTGTAAATTCGAATAGTGAACGATAAAGCAACGACTCATGATTTTTCAGACGATGTGCTTCATCGACAGCCAATGCAACCCATTCGAACGAACCAAGAAACGACTGCAAATGCAAAATTCATATTGAAATATCGTCGACTAACTTCTAAAATCATAAAAATTCAAGCAAAGCGGAAAAGAAAATGCAAAAAATTAGGCATTTTTTGTGGGAAAGAAAGGAAAAAGAAACAAGAAAACAATGCCAAAGTATGTAAACGGGGAAGTTGGCCAAGAACAAATTTTGTGGCTTCAAAATAAATTCATGCAAATATCTAGACCGGCCGGATAACTGGTGCAAATTTCCCATTTTACTAATGCTATTAGGATGATCCCACGTGCCTGGAGCAACTATTCCCGATTACCTATGTCACGATTTTATGATTTCAAAATCAAAAACCGAAAAAACTTTACCTTATCCTTTAATAAAATCTCATACGTTGTTAGAACAACGTTCACTTTTAAGCGTTTTGTGCTCTGTACAAACATTTCATATTGCCGTATCTGAAATTGAAAACTATTAAATCGAAGAAAAAACATCAACAACAGAGATGAAAAGTTCGACCACTAATGTGAAAGCATCAGACATCACGTCAATTACGTACATGCCGAATTACGCCATCCAGGATAAGCCTGTTGAATGGGCCTATTTGGGCCTATCCACAAGGCCCAACCAGGCCAATTCAACAGGCCTATCCACGAGATAACGTGCAGACATAAGGGCTATGGTATTCACGTCGAGGACTAGACAATCAAATTTAAACACGACATAAACAGGGCAATTTGTGTCATGTTTAAATTAATGCTTGCAATCTACCCCAATATTTTTCTTTTCAGCAGCTGTGCCCTGCTTGATACCCACATCAACATCGCAAGGCGGTTACGGGCAATTTTACCCGAAGCTTACCCGGTTATGGGCAATTTTACCCGAATCTCGGCGCCCCTACACTAACAACTCGTGCTTTGCCCACACATGTAATAGTCAATACGAAGCAGCGCAGGAAGGTCGCTAGTGAGAAAGATGAAGTACCAGAGAAATCACAAAGAAATATGCTACATTTCATATTTTTCGCATCAAAGTGAAGAAAAAAAGCAGGAAAACGAATGCCAGAATCGCTAAGATAAAGGGGCCGGACACACAAAAACATGGAAATGGTACCTTACTGCGAGGATACGATACGAGCAAACGAATGATTAAAGTGACAAAATAGCGCTTCCAAAGGAATTTGCAAACTATCATAGAATGACTGAAGTTAAAACTACCCTTCCCTCTCTCCCCCAC